TTTTTTTTTTTTTTTTGCGTTTTTTAATGAACACCAGTTAACTGTGTACACCAAATTACAGTTTTAGATAGTCGTTTCGAGACTTTATTGTTGTCTAACTGCATCAGTAAGCAAGAAATATGAGAAAGAAAAATGTTGAGCAAAACTGCTAGAAAAAAAATTGAGAATTTTTTTTATCTGTTCTAAGACTTCAAAACATTTCTAGAACAGAAACACTCAGACGACAATTGCAATCGTCATGACTTTAAGACAGATCAACAAGACATGTAGACAGTTTTTTTTAGTTAGTTTTAAATTTTAAACTGCACTAATTACAGACATTTACACAATGAACTTTTGAACGGACACAGATCTATACTGAAAAATAATTTGGGAAACAGTCTTTTGATATGCATGTGAATATAAAACTGTCGATAAACTGATAAACATAGAAATAAAAGTGAGAAAGAAAACGATAAAGTCCTAAAAGCTTATCTTTTATAGTGTTATTCAAAAGGTTCAACAGAACGTTACTGAAAAAATTACTGTTGACGGAAGTGCAAAAAATGTGAGGAGCAAAAAAAAAAAAAAAAAATTTTTAAAGTTAAAATTTTTGTTGATTTATAGCTGTTACTAACAGTTGTTGCAGCACAAAAGTAAAAATAAACATCTTTATGAAAAACAATAGCATTTTTTACATTCATTTTCACCTTCCTTTCCACTTCTGTCGTTTTCAGTTCATCTTTTACAAAGTTATATCAGTAGACAAAAAAGAAGAATTTTTAAATCTTTGTTTAGCAATTATTATTTGTTGTTATTTTTGTAACCATTTCGACATTACTTTTCATTTTTCTCTTTTTTAAATTATGCACTTACATTCACAAGTGCAGTTATTTGTGGCTATAAAAAAACAGGCCGTCTAAGACCGCAGTTTAAATCTAAGCTTCACTTATAGAAGTATTCTTAGTTTAAGATATGATATTTTTCAAATATGTCTTGTCGATAATATTTTACATGTATCTTGTGTAACTTATGTAACTCCAACAATCAAACTCTTTATTTTTGGGGCTTAGAGCAGTTTATCTATTTTAAACATGTGATGCCTTTAGACATCCTGTGTAATATCTTCTGTAACTATGCAAAAGACGCACCCTGCAAGAAGAGCAATAATTTCAAATAAGGAGGTAAAATGCTAAGATTCAAACCTCTTTCTGATCAACCTCTTAAGGAAACAGTATTTGACAATTCTTCGATGAAATTGTCATTTAAAAATTTTAACAGTTAATTTGATGCTAAAATTTTAATCAATTTTTTTTTTAGTTTATGAGTAATCAAAAAGAAAAAGGCGTAGAAGAAAAAAAAAGTTGTTGAGAAAGCAATGTATATTGTTGTCGGAACCTTTCAGTAAATTTCTTTGATTACTTTAAATACTGATACAATAATTAAAACTTTAGTGTAAAAGGTGCTGCTTACTAAAGCGGCATTAATTTTATCTATTGGGTTTATTTAACAGAAAAAAAAATAACAAAACAAAGCAAAAAAAAAAAAAAGAGTAAGAATACAAAACAATCAGAAAAAGTGTTTATTCTAAGAAAAGTAAAATAAATTTGCAATACTGAAATAGACGACAAGTTACAGCTGAAACGATGAGCCACCGAATTAATCCAGTAAGTCAATTAGAACTGATTCTTTAATTCTTCGGTTTACCTTTTATATACTAAGACAGGTTGTTTTAGTAATTTCAATATTTCAACGAACTTGTTTTGGTGTTTCTCTTGAGAAGAAGGACAAAATAAAAAAAAAAAAGTAGAAAAGAAAATGAAGAAAAAGAAGTGAATACAACAGCATTTATTTCTGATACCACCAATTTTGTGTTTTAAATGAACATTCTTTGACGTCATAACAAATTGCTCAAACATCTAATTGAGAGTTCTTCTATTTTAAAGTTTTTATATTCTAACTGGGTGCATAACTAAATTTAAAAAAAAAAAAGAAAAAGAATTAAAAAATGTAACGTGTGATCTTTTTATTGTTTGACGAAAAAATTAGTTAGCTATTTGGTCAACTTTTTCTGTCATTAAAGTACTCATCACCTTGATCTTTTTGTTAGTAGTGCGAGAGCAACTAAACAAAACCACTGATTTTGCAGTAGTTCGTCAAATTTCACAGAAACTTCAAAGTTGTCAATTGATTTAAACAACCACAAGAACAACGACAACAATGGCAACATAAAAATGATCTAAAAAATCTAGGATACTTGATGTTACATTTTTTTTTTCATGTATCAATAACAGTATCTTTCTATCAATTAGTTCTGTTTATTATTGTGTAAGGAAGAAAAAAATAACAGATAAGAATGAAAAAAAAAGTGCGAAGTGTTATCAAACGATTGGGTACATATTTGGTGGCTCTCATTAATCAGTAAGCAAAATCATTGAAGCTTTACAAAGACTAATGATCGCCGTCAACAGCAGCCACCCTTTTTTTTTTCTCCATCTTTCCCTTACCTTTAATTTGATTACCATCTATTTGATACTGCCAACTAGATGAAATTTCACTTCATTTTTTCAAAAAAGTATTTCTGCTTTTGAAGTGATTAGAACAGATGCCGCACAATTATTACTGAATTAAGTTTTGCCTCTTTTTTTTTTTTTCTTGATAATTTTTCAATCTCTGTTTATGTTACAAATTTTAATGCCACTCTAAGAACTATCAAATAATTTTTGAGCCAAAAGAAAAAAAAAATAAACTGAAGTTTTTGAAATTGTAGTAAACAGTAGTTAATTGCAAAAAAAAAAATGAACTGAACAATAAACGATACAATGAACTGCAGTTATATTTTAGTTGTGTTAAAACACTTAGTTTTTTTTTTTTTTACCTTTTTCTACAAACTCTGAAACATGAAAAATGATCTTGAGGTGTTTTTACCATTTTTTTTTCTTATTTTTTTAATTGCTTTTGAAGAAATAGACTAGTTTCTTTATGAGCAACTGTTTTGATTACAGTCATACTAGATGCCCTTTTTTTTTTTTTTCTTCTGCTATTCTTACTGTTACTGTGATAGCAGTAGCAATAGTTGCACCTGTAGCCTTTAGATTACATCTTAGCCTTTCTTTATGTATCAATTCGAAGGATCAATAAAGTCATTATCAAATCGTAATTTTAATAAAATCTTCACACAATAGTAATAAAATCAAGTTACAGCAAAAACATACAGAGAAAGTACAAATAAACCATCAAAACTGAACTGCTGAACTTTTCAACCCGACATCAAATGTTTCAGTCGCCATTACAGTCTCCTCTTCGAACAGCTTCCTTTTTCTGTTCTAAAAATAATTTTTCCAAATAATAGTTCAGGTTTAAGACAATTTCATAGTTAAACTTTGCCTCTTTCTTTCGTTTTTTTTTCAATTTATGCTCTTTTCCACCTCATTTACCATTGCCTAATCGGAACAAAAAAG